TAACCTGAAACCAAACATCTACAATAAACTGGCATAATACCCAGCACAGGACCAAAAAAATCCCCAATATTTATAGATAATTAGAGGAAGGTACTTATCTGTTTTAACGAATAACACACACAGGTCCCCTTGTAGTTTAGTTCTCAACAAAGTTTTGAAGGTGTCTCACGACGATGCAGGATTAAACGTTAATGGCAATTTGACGAATCGACGAGTTTTCAACTTCTACTTATCGGCGTTATGTTTTAAGCGGTTCACGGTAAGGTGACGACGATATCACATATACAGCAGACTGGAGGTCATCAGAATATTCAGCTGCGAGTCTTCATAGGACGGTCGTTGGCTATCTATCGTTGTTTCACTGCTCCACCATGTTACGGTATGTTGCTGCAGTGAGAGGATTTGAGTCACTTGACTCGGCCAACTATCATTTGGTTCATCCCTAATATCAGGGCGAGGAGTTCTGACCTTGGGGACCAACAAGGCTATCTCACGTTCAGTCTAGCATATGGCGCTCAGAGATAATGCAACTCAGTATTCCTAGTCTAATACTTTATTCATACATATATTATACATCTATCTATCTCCCAACTTGAGGCATACGGAACAGTCCACGTCCTTTCATACCGACGATCTAGCTTAGACTCTCTCACATATCAACTCATAGCAACAAAACTCTCTACCCTAAAACGTCACTATCTTTCGTACCGCGTCACACATTCACTCGTTCAATATACGGCCGCACTATCAATCATGCGCACCAATACACTAGTCGAACATGCATCATAACACCCTCCCCCGGAGAAAAAAGTCTGGAAGAAACACTGTTTATTAATATTACTATGTCGTGCTGTGGTCGCTGCTGCTAGTTCTGTCGTAGGCACTGACAAAATCCGATCGCAAATCATACGAGTCGGGTGTGTGTCTTGATCTCCGCCGAACCCCTGGGGTTCAATCTAACTCCGTACTCTGTATACGAGAAAGCAAAAATCAATGCCAAGACCTCTTGATACTTCGTAAGGTGGTTGATCAATCACATGGGTTAACAGAAAAAGGCCACGTTAAAACTTACCATATGTCGAAGGCCCTATGTCTTTATATAAACAGAAAATTTTAGAGAAAAAAGAGGCGAACTCAGAAAACTGTTATTACTAGAGTGCTAACGCTCTGCTACTTATACCTATATTTAATCTGATAGTACGACGGCAGTGAGATCGGTAAGACTTTTTGGATGTTATAGGAACTGATGCTGTAGCTTCTTTTTATTCAATGTGAAGTAAATGCCAGCTGCCACGACTGGGTTTGATATACTAGAAGAATAGGTTTTAGAAGTAGGCCTAAATATAGTTGTATTCTGAGGACTTTGTAGAGATAGAGAGAGAGAGAGGAGAGGCGCAGTGGACGAATTTCGCAAACAGAAAAAGCGCGCAAACAAATTTGCGCACAAAAATATACTCTAACACAGAAACAGGCGTATAATTGCAATAATCCTCATGTGTGCATATTTCTCTAAGTGCATTTTTCTCTGTGCCCACTTTTTCTGTTTGCGCACTTTCCTAGATCGAACTACCTCACATAGCAGAGACCACTCCATACCTTCCTTATCCCAACCCAACGTATCACCTCACACACCATATAATATGTTTGGCCGCATCAATTACTTTGAGGGAGAATTATATAGTAGATTCTAAAATTGATATTTTGCTATTAGATTCTAGTTATAATGTAAAAAAAGACAACTTCCAACACATAACCATTTGCCCCGTATTCATTTACTGTCCAAACAGAAATAACTTCTAATATGAATGAAAAATCGTCCTTTAGTCGTATCACAAATCAAGCATTACAAACCAATATAATTTTTTGCAATTTTTACTGCGTGTCACCCAGTGCGGTCCTCTCTCCCCCTCCCCCTTGCTACGCCTCTGGTTGCACCACTGCTCCTTAGAGCGTGTCGAAATAACATAACAACGTAACACAAATGAACAAAGAACAATATAACCAAAAACATAACATGAAATGTAACGTAAACAACATAACAATGCATGCAACATTTAAGCTGAACGCTAAAGCTCTGAGAGTCAGCTGCTATCATCAACCATTCACTCGCTGCGGCCGTCTTTGAATCCTTAAAAATCCACAATGGCAACAAAGCAAACAATCGTTATCGCGGTCGGTCAAGAAAATCTGGTCCACTGAGTTAGGCTTCAGCAACACAATAATAATGTGGACTTTCTCATTTCTGGCATCAATCTTCCATCAACAATCTTCCATCAACAATCTTCAAGTAACACCGGTCAAGGAAACAATGATCAGATAGGGAATTGTTCTCACATACATCTACACATCCCTTATCAGGTAGGGAATTGTTCTCACATACATCTACACATCCCTCAAATCAATTATTCTTTCTTCAAAAAATGGTCAATGCTAAGGTTAGTGTCATGTTGGGCTCTAGATTCTTGTACTTACATGGGATTGTATATTAACATGCTCAAGTTGTCTACAAATGTGTCAGCAGTTGGATGTGTCTTGGTATGACATGCCATGGCAACTATTGGATTAACATGCTCAAGTTGTCTACAAATGTGTCTGCAGTTTGATGTGTCTTGGTATGACATGCCATGGCAACTATTGGCCTAAACCAGCTTTTTAAGGTCAAGGACATTGCATAAAAAATTAATTACCTAACGATAACAAGCAGCTCTGGGGATCGCTATGAAAAAATTAATTACTATGTAATTAATTACGCCGTTATTAATTGCCTCGTCAATTTATGTTTGTCAATACAAAGCTGAGTTTAGTCCACAAGGGCTGGGGCGCACAGACGGGTCTGTGTAATGATAGCACACGATGTATGCCCTGTGTAATGATAGCACACGAAGCATGCCCTGTGTAATGATAGCACACGATGTATGCCCTGTGTAATGATAGCACACGATGCATGCCCTGTGTAATGATAGCACACGATGCATGCCCTGTGTAATGATAGCACACGATGCATGCCCTGTGTAATGATATGCCCTGTGTAATGATAGCACACGATGCATGCCCTGTGTAATGATAGCACACGATGTATGCCCTGTGTAATGATATGCCCTGTGTATTGATAGCACACTATGTATGCCCTGTGTAATGATAACACACGATGCATGCCCTGTGTAATGATAACACACGATGCATGCCCTGTGTAATGATAACACACGATGCATGCCCTGTGTAATGATAGCACACGATGCATGCCCTGTGTAATGATAACACACGATGCATGCCCTGTGTAATGATAACACACGATGCATGCCCTGTGTAATGATAGCACACGATGCATGCCCTGTGTAATGATAGCACACTATGTATGCCCTGTGTAATGATAACACACGATGCATGCCCTGTGTAATGATAACACACGATGCATGCCCTGTGTAATGATAGCACACGATGCATGCCCTGTGTAATGATAACACACGATGCATGCCCTGTGTAATGATAGCACACGATGTATGCTCTGTGTAATGATAGCACACGATGCATGCCCTGTGTAATGATAGCACACGATGCATGCCCTGTGTAATGATAGCACACGATGCATGCCCTGTGTAATGATATGCCCTGTGTAATGATAGCACACGATGCATGCCCTGTGTAATGATAGCACACGATGTATGCCCTGTGTAATGATATGCCCTGTGTATTGATAGCACACTATGTATGCCCTGTGTAATGATAGCACACGATGCATGCCCTGTGTAATGATAACACACGATGCATGCCCTGTGTAATGATAGCACACGATGTATGCCCTGTGTAATGATATGCCCTGTGTAATGATAGCACACGATGCATGCCCTGTGTAATGATAGCACACGATGCATGCCCTGTGTAATGATAGCACACGATGCATGCCCTGTGTAATGATAGCACACGATGTATGCCCTGTGTAATGATAGCACCCCGCGTATGGTCTGTATAAGGGGTCATCCATTTATGACGTCCACCCACAGGAAGGGGGGGGGGGGGTCCGATAAAAATCAACTTTTGTGGCCGTTAGTGGACTGGGGGGGGGGGGGGGTATTAAAATCCGAAATGTTTGTGGACGTCATAAATGGATGCCCCTAATGCTAGCACACTACGTAGGGATAGCCCCCCCCCCCCGATGTATGGTATGTGTAATGACCATCTGGGTGACCTTGAGAAGCGGGTGAGCAGTGGTTTGTTAAACGTGTGCAGCGAAGAAATCGCGACGTGAACCTAAAGTAATATCAGCGGTCTCGACAAATTTCTGATGCATACAAAAAAAAATGTCCTATTTTTTTTAGGCAAAATAAAATCGAGAATGAATAGGCGGAACAAGTACTCCAATATTGGAAGACAATATTCCACAAACAGAAAAAGCGGATTTCCGTTTATAAAAAAAAAAAACGTTAGATCTCTGCCGTATTGATCTTTAAAGTCCAGAAAGCAGGAAATGCCACCGCCCTTATAATCTCCCCTCCCAACCTTGAGCTTTAGGTGTCTTTATCCTACTCTGTTAATACTGATATGCGGGATACTTTACCTACTTCAATATCTTTCTTTCACATTTTTCTTTTAGTTGCAGTCTTTGAATGACTGCTTCATCTCTTTCTTTGAGTTGAAGTCTGTGTATACTTCATTTGTTCCGATGTCCTAAGTCCTGTTAGACAGGGGCTATTGTTAGAATGTGTTTGACCTACTAGACAGGGGCTATTGTTAGAATGTGTTTGACCTACTAGACAGGTACTATTGTTAGAATGTGTTTGACCTACTAGACAGGTACTATTGTTAGAATGTGTTTGACCTACTAGACAGGTACTATTGTTAGAATGTGTTTGACCTACTAGACAGGGGCTATTGTTAGAATGTGTTTGACCTACTAGACAGGTACTATTGTTAGAATGTGTTTGACATACTAGACAAGTACTATTGTTAGAATGTGTTTGACCTACTAGACAGGTACTATTGTTAGAATGTGTTTGACCTACTAGACAGGGGCTATTGTTAGAATGTGTTTGACCTACTAGACAGGGGCTATTGTTAGAATGTGTTTGACCTACTAGACAGGTACTATTGTTAGAATGTGTTTGACCTACTAGACAGGGGCTAATGTTAGAATGTGTTTGACCTACTAGACAGGGGCTATTGTTAGAATGTGTTTGACCTACTAGACAGGGGCTATTGTTAGAATGTGTTTGACCTACTAGACAGGTGCTATTGTTAAAATATATTTGACCTATTAGAAAATGTTTTTTTTTTACATCAAATGAAAAAGAAAAAAGAATTTATACAATTTTAAAACCTTTTTCATTAATAGAACAAATACATAAATATCTTATTTACAATACTGTCAAGAAGTTTTCTTCTAATAAATATCATGAGACAAAAAAAAACAACAATCTAATATGTTTTCTCACATCTTTTCTTTGAGTTGGTAATATCCTACCATAGATGTGGTGAGTGGGGGTAGATGACAACGACACTCTACCACAGACTGGGGTAGGGACAAGCTACTCGACTTTCTATTGATGAGGCAGGGTGGAGAACAGACATGTCATAATAGATTAGGGTGTGGGGGATGATCCTACCTTAGATAGGATGGGGAAATAGTATCATAGATGGGGTAGGGACATCCTACTTAAGTACTTCTACTATCACTTCTTTATTACATAAGCAGTTAGAAGTTTTTAAAAATCAGCAGCCCTTTTGTTTAAGCATTTACATTTTGTGACCAGAATCATATCAACAACCCCCACCCCCTTCCAAAAAAAAGAGTTGTAGAGAAAATCAATATTTGGGAAACTAACAGCATAATTTTGGTATCATCAAACAGAAAATGCTTTTTAGCATCTGAACAAATCTATTCATTCAACATCTGAACAAATCTATTCATTCAACATCTGAACAAATCTATTCATTCAACATCTGAACAAATCTATTCATTCAACATCTGAACAAATCTATTCATTCAACATCTGAACAAATCTATTCATTCAACATCTGAACAAATCTATTCATTCAACATCTGAACAAATCTATTCATTCAACATCTGAACAAATCTATTCATTCAACATCTGAACAAATCTATTCATTCAATGTCTCAAGAGCACAATAAGTTGATGGGACTGGCCGCAAGAATGAAATCACAAAACAAACTTAATACAGCTGCTGGTAGCATGTAACAGAGAGCTGTGCAGGGTAGAGCCTTTAGAAAGACAAGAAAGTCAACACAGAAAGACAACTGGCTCAGGCTATATGCAAACACATGTCACATTTTTAAAAACATTCACACATCACCTACAATCTATTGACAATTTATGTCACATCAAATTAAAAAGCAAATGACAATGATGGTTTCTTTGTTTTGGAATAGAATAAAAAAAAAGTTCCATCAATGTTGGCCTGTAGCAGCCAAATGTTGGCCTGTAGCAGCCAAATGTTGGCCTGTAGCAGCCAAATGTTGGCCTGTAGCAGCCAAATGTTGGCCTGTAGCAGCCAAATGTTGGCCTGTAGCAGCCAAATGTTGGCCTGTAGCAGCCAAATGTTGGCCTGTAGCAGCCAAATGTTGGCCTGTAGCAGCCAAATGTTGGCCTGTAGCAGCCAAATGTTGGCCTGTAGCAGCCAAATGTTGGCCTGTAGCAGCCAAATGTTGGCCTGTAGCAGCCAAATGTTGGCCTGTAGCAGGCCTGTATCAATGAATCACTGTTGGCATGTAATAATTTCTGACTAGTGGTTCCATGAATGTTTTCCTGCAAATGTTTGACCCAAGGATAATTTGTTAAGGTAGAAACAGAAGAGTGGTGGCTGCCCTCACAATATGTTGGTAGTC